GTGTGAGCTACTGGCGTCCTGCCTGAATGGTTTTGTTTAGCTTCCTGGGCTCTGAATAAAAGCACAGAAAAAGGTTAAAGGTGGGAAAAGCATTGAGAGCAGTGGGATGTTAGGTTTAGTAGAAAGCTTGCATTTTGGCATGGCACAACAACGATCTAACACTTAATTATGACAGTCCATGTCTAAAACCAGATTTAGTCGCTGGGATCTTTTTAGGAATTCCCTGACTCATTTTTTCCCTTCTAGTTTTACTTTGTTGTGTATTTCAGAATCAAGAGGCTTCTCCCATACTTTCCAAAATTCTTTTCCTAAATGGCTTCCTCCTAAGTCTTTGCAGGACTCCCTGAGTACTGAGTACTTTCTTTTTTTTTTTTTTGGTGGTATTGGGATTTGAACTCAGGACCTCATGCTTGCTAGGCAGTTGCTCTACCACTTAAACCATTTTGCTCCCTGATTCTCTGTCTCCTTCCCATCTCCATCTCTTGTGTTGGCTTCTGATCTGTTTTCTCTGATATTCACTTAACTGTTACAATAGTCAATTCTTAAAGCCAGGAGCTACCTCTGTGTCATAATAGGCATGGGTTGGTGGGTAGGAGGCACACGGGAAAGAGTAGGCCTGGGCTAAGTTAGAACATGGGCTGGTTTCCCAAAATGACCAAATGGTGGCTTTGGATGGACATTTGGTGGGATCATCCTGGGAAGAACATTTCAGGAGCAATAAAGTGAAGAATTGGGCTGGTGTCAGAGAGGGTTGGCACGGACTTAAGGATGCGAGGGAGAACCAGTCAGCAGCAAGCAGGTGCGCAAACAGTGACTTCTGTTGTGTTATGGACTCAAAACCCGAAATATTTATCAATGTGAAACTGGCTTGTGTTTCATCAGCAAACCATTAAAATCAGATATTCTCAGAGAGGTATGAAGTCAGAACCAATGACAAATTGATGCGTGACAAAGCCAAGTGACTTAGTTCTTTTTCTTATTTCCCATACTTGGCTTGCCCACACCTGACCAGAGTCAAGACGAAGGTCTCCCGTCACTTCAGAGCACATAAGCTGTGAGCAGAGGGCCATCATTTCATCTGTCTTAGAAAACGCACCACCTCATCGGATGGTTTGTTTTCATGGATGTGTCAGAACCCTAGATTTTGAGTTTAAATGCTAAATACTTAAAAATACAGTTTTCCCTCTCTTGTTTGAGACGGGGCTTTTAAGCAGTATCAGACACCGCAATGAAAGCCCGGGTGGTGAGGAGGCGCTCGCATGGAGGGTGGCTTTCTTAGGAGGCATTTGCACTCCGAATCACTTAGCAACACTCAGATCGGCTCTGACACCTTCTGCAGCTTTAATATTCAGGATCAAATCAAGTCTTTCCAGAGAGGGGACAGATTGAGTCTTTTAAACCAAGCAAGCGAAAGTTGTCACTTTGCAATTTTCACCTTAAGGCTGGTGGCAGTATCAGACTTTTCATTTCATAACTTATTTTGGAATCAGATTTTTTTTTTTTCACTTAGCTTCTCAGGTCCTTTTCTCTGCCTCTGTTCCCATTCATGACTTTTATTCCTATAGACCCTCTCAGGATCTTCCCTTTATTTTGGCTGTCACATTGCGATTTCCTAGCCTGGCACCCAGGGCCCACGAGGAGCTTGAGCTGTGTCCATCACCTGCTTCTCTAAGGTCTTCTGCTTCTGCAAATTAAATAACCCACTCCCTAAACGTGCTGTGTTCTTTGAGATCACTGCGGCTCCAGCCTAGGCACAGTGTTTTCTTTGCTGGCTCCTTTTTGATTATTTTTCTAGAAACGGTCATGCATTGCTTACAGACAGGGATATGGTTGGAGAGATGTGTCCTAGGTGATTCTGTTGACTTGGGAACATGATAGAGCATCCTCATACAAACTGAGATCGTGGAGTCAATCACTTAACACGGCCTCTGGAAGAGACAGGGTGAATGAGATGTACGAGGCTGCCGTCGGCATAATATGGCAGAGCGTTGTAGAGTGGAGGATTTTAAATAAGTCATCTGTTGTCAAGTGTTGCGTACTGTACAGGACTTGGGTGCCATCCTCCCACAGTAGGTTCGTTTACAGTAGAATTGCACAAACGTGTTGTGCTGTGATACCGCTGTGGCTCCCACGTCACTAGGCAGTAGGAAATTTCAGCTCCATAAGATTGAAATCTTACGGGACTGTCTACATAGATGCGGTCCGTTGTCAAGTACACAGCTGTCGTTCTGGATTCCCGGGCAGTTTCCGGTGCCTTCAGTTTGAGCTGGGTTCGGTTCCACTGGGGTCCTCTGTGACTCTTTATCACAGGGCTTCGTACTCTGCATTTCAGTCATTTGCCTTTCTCATCCTGAACTGGGAACATCTTGGGGACAAGGACTGGGTCTTTGTACTTATGTCCCTCTCCTTTCTCTGCGTTTCTTTTGTCTGGATTTCTCAGCATTGGTGACAAAGCTGAGCCTCTGTTGTCACAATAGCTCTTAGACATTCGCGTTAGAATTTAGCAGCTGTCTTGGATCTGCTCTGTCTCTCTCAGGGACTCTGCTATTTTTTTTTTTTACTGCTGTTTGAAGTCGTAAGATTTGAGCATCAGATCAGGGACGTATTTTCAGAGGATGTGTTAATTTAGTTAGTAACATGTTGGCGTGAAGTAGAAAGGCTGGAGGAATAAAAGTGAAAACAAGAAATATTTATTTCATAAATATTGTACAAAAGAACGAAATGTTAAGAGTTTGTTTTAAATCCGTATTTTTACAGTTGGCATAGAAAAATGAACTGGGACTCGGGTATGCTAACCTCATCAATTACCCAGCCAAAGCTCAGGAAATGCAACTCCAGCCCCAAGAAGTAACTTCTGCTGCAACAGAAGGCAGAAGACTGCTTCACTCGCTAGTGAACCGCTGTGGAGAGATTTCTGGAATTTCAGTTTTACTCATATTTTTTAAAAACTCAGAAGATTTTAAAAACTACTTAACATGTTGGAAATATACTAGAAGTTTCCTAAGTTAATTTAAACTAGTTTAAATTTTAGAATGATATTACAAATGCTGTTAGTTTTTTTTTTTGGCAGTACTAGGATTTGAACTCAGGGCCTTATGCTTGGTAGGCAGATGCTTTACCACTTGAGCCACCCCACCAGCCCTTTGCCATCTCTTATCTCTTTAGAGGTTCTTTTTTATACTTGTCTAGCTTACCTGCCTTGATCTTTGTTTGTTTTTTTATTTAAAAAGTGAATGACGTATTTTTTTTTTTAAGTTAAACAGTGTAGACTGTAGTAGAAAGCGAACGCTTCTTTTATGACCATTCTCAGAAGTAACTAATATTTCCCTGGGTGTTCTAGAAACTGTGAATTTTTTGTTAACGTTGGAACCTTTTCTCCTTTTACCACACTTTCCACGTTGTCACTCATTAATGCTTTAGTTCATAGCCACTTTTTCCTGCTACCACAGGTAGGTCTGTCACAGGCTTTTTAGCAGCTATGTTGTAACTCACAGAATGAGTCTACTATAATCTAAAAAGCTGTTTTGCTAGCAGGGTATCTCCGATATTTTCCTATTATAGAAGGTGTTTCTACAAGCACTTTTGTATCTTCTCCACAGTGTGTTTTTGCAGGATGATTACCTACCTGTGCACGGGGGGAGGGACTAAGCATGTGCAATGGTCCTGTGGCTCACAGGTTAATTTATTCTCAGGCTGGTGGAGTGGCTCAGGTGGTACAGTGTCTGCCCAGCAAGTGTGAGGCCCTGAGTTCAAATCCCTCACACCACAAAGAAAGGGAACTCATGCCTCAAGACTTTCAACAGTATTTAACCATAAATGCTAACAAATGCTACCATTCTGATTTGTGAATAAACTTTGTTTAAAAGGGGAGATGGGTCACTATCTGACATCCTGTGAAACATTTAGGGGTTTTTGTTTTTTAACTACTGCTTTTCTCCTTGTGCTGTAAACCTGAGTTCTATGTGACACACGGATGATACATACAACCTTTGAGAGCAAGTGTGGAACCCGTCTCTTACCGGTGGTATCTCCTTGACATGCTGTCGTTTCTTCACGACGCACCACGGTGTCTGTAAGCTGATTTCTCTATATGTGTGGCACACAACAGAACGAACACTGTTCTGTGGTGTAATTTATCTTCCAAGAAATGTATGATGTTGACACTATCAAAAATAGAAGCTCTCAATGGTTATTTTGCTTACGTGTTATAAGTTATTTTCTGAACACCTTGAAAGCAGTACAATTGTGCCTTCTTGAATAAAAGGAAGCTTTTAGATGCACTTCAGACACATGCTTTTCTCCGTCCAAAATGTCTAATTGAGCCAGGCATGGTGACTCACACCTGTAATCCTAGCTACTCAGGAGGCAGAGATCAGGAGGATCATGGTTCAAAGCCAGCTCTCAACCCTATCTCGAAAAAACCCATCACAAAAATGGAGCTGGTGGAGTGGCTCAAGGTGAAGGCCCTGAGTTCAAGCCCTCAACCACCAACCCCCCACAAAAAAAAAACCCCTGAAGATGTAAGCCTGCGTCCCTAATGTTCTGGTTGAGGGTTTTTCAGGGCCCCCCAGAGTAGGTGCTTGGCATCCCCACCTACTAAGAGACCCAGTTCTGACAGCTGTGGAGGTCAAGTGCTTTCATCTAAGTTTTCAAGCCTAGCTCACCCCAGCAAAATAGCTGCGCTAAATCTGCATATCCAATGGCAGTGTCTTAGAGATTTCAAATTCACACTTAACAGACAAATAGACACAGTCTGCATACTGAGAACCTCAATAGATAATTCTCACAAAATTCACAGACACATATTGGAAGATGGCTATTTGTGTTTAACGTTGGATTCAAATTTATTTTGGATTTTGAAAGATTTTTTTTTCTGTATTCTAAGATTCATAACCTTCCTAATCTAATGTATAAGGTTTTTTGCTTATATTTTTAAGAAATGATGGTTTTGAGGAGATGATAGTAGTTTATTGTAAAGATTATTTTTTTCTTTTTGACAGAAAACAAGCATCGTTGTGGGTCCAAGGAGACATTTTCCGATCCAAACTGAAAAATAGACCATCCAGTGAAGGAAGTATTAGTAAGATTCTTTCTAGCTTGGATGACATGTCTATTGGTGGGAACTTATCTAAAATACAAAACGTGGAAAGATTTGGAGAGGTGAGTTTTCCCCTGGAGGTTCTGTCTCTTCAGTGCTGGATCCTTCATTGCTCTCCAGCTGAGCACTTAACACACGGCAGTGTCGTTTCTCCCAGGTGCTGGAGGCTGGAGTTGAAGGTGCAGAAGCAGAGCAGCAAAGTCAGTTGCCCTCACAACGCTCTCATTTCAGGAGTACAATTGTAAAGAAAGGAAATTGTACAGAAAGGAAATAGAAAGGGCAACCCTCGACTTCAAAATAGAAATGTCAGATTTTTTATTGTTGTGCTGGGATTTGAGCTTGGGCCCTCTACCACTGGATTTTCAGACAGGGTCCTTATGCAGGCTTTGCCCAGGCTGGACTTCAGCTGCAGTCCCCCTCCTTTTGCCCCCTGAGTAGCTGGGACCACAGGTGTGCGTCACCACCCCTGGCTCAGAAGAACAATTTTACCGTTCCCATTAAAGAAGTAGGCGTATTAGTTTTTATCATCGCTCTGACCATATCCCTGACAGAAAGAACTTGAGGGAGGAAAGATTTATCTTGCTCACAGTTTCACATGGTTCAGTCCATGGTCACTTGACTGTGTTTCTGAGCCCTCTGTGAGCAGAACCTCACAGTGACAGGAGTTTGTGGAGGAGGCTCTTCACCCCATGGTGTGCAGGAAACAGAAAGAAAAGCAGGAAGGGGCCATGGACAAGATACCCCCAAGAACCTGCCTCCTAAAGTTTCCAGAACCTCCCAAAATAGCATCCCCAGCTGGAGCCAAGCCCTCAACACGTGAGCCCATGGGGACATTTCCTATCCAAACCTTAGCAGTGGCACATGGCACGAGGGGGACTTGGCTGGTTTCTACAGTAAGTGCAGAGTTGGATGCATGATCAGCTATAACTTGTTCTGTTGAGGCTCTGCCATAAACAGAGCACTTCAGATAGTCGTTTTTCATCATCTGGTTTCATCTCCATGGCACCTGGCAGGTAACGTGATAATGTCTGTGTTGCTTTTTTTTTTTTTTTT